AATTCTCATCGAATAGAATATAGGGTAAATCCATGGGAAACGTACAACGTTTACATCGACTTTCGCCAAACTTGCTGAAACTTTCAGACTTTGTAGAGCTCGATGAGCTAATCATTTTGGTAGTAAAATATTGAGGGTTTGAATATGTTATCAGGTCAAAATGGGAAAATACGTTTTTAGGACTTTTGAAAAAATCATCGTCGAAATAGAGAGGCTTGTACTTTGTGAAAGCATTTTCTCCTTCATTACTCAATCAAAACTAAACATTCTATATATATTTAGATAGCTCGCGATAAACTCTATCTAACCATATATGAACCAAGTAGTTCAGGATCCTAAGTGAAACTTTCCACGGACCAGAATTATTTGACAATAACGGAAACTTTCGCTCCTAATAAAAAATCTCTTCCGAATTTGGGTGAGTGGTGGTACTTCAGGTTTTGTAGAGCGTCGCTTGCTCTATCTTCTGGTATATAAGATATCTCAGTCGTTTTTGATTTACCGTGGTTACAGAGGCAAAAATGTTTAAATACTTGTTTTTTTTGGCAAATTTTAGCTCATATTCAAGGGCTTTTTCATAGAAAACATCGATGAATCAGTTTGAAAATTTGAATATAGATAGATCTCAATGAGTAGAATAAAAAGCATATGAAATTTCACAAGGTATTATGTTATATTTTCTATCATATGATGATACTAAAAGGTAAAAAATATCGTTTCAACTCTTCAATAACTATTCAAAAGTTTTTCTTTTCATAAGAATCACCACAACATTGTACTACGATAACATAGAAATCTTAGAGAACCCATAACTCATTTTGAAAACTTCTATTCACTTTGATTTCGAGAATGTAATTGCAAATTTTTCTAACAATGATAAACAAAAGAATATTTAATATCATCAGTACAATATCAGTCTTCTGTCGATTATATTGATGTTGATGCAGGATAAGCATATTTATCTTAATCCAAATCTTATTATCTTGTAGTATGAAAACAACGAGATTTGAGAAAGAAAAACTTAAATCTAGCGATCATACCACAAAAGAAATCGATTCAAGACCATTGATTTAACACCAAAATATGATAGGGAGAAATACAGGAATTGGTGGCTGTTATTTGAAAGATGGCACTGGGCTATGCATTCGAGTTTAAAATATAAATAATCTGACTATAATTGGAAGTCAAGTACCTAAACGAGATTGAAGTGATAATATATGTATAAACGACGAAATAGACATCAGTTAATCGAAAAAGCCTGAATAATTTTGGTCACTATCTAGTCCTACTTTGGAGGTGATTGTTTTTAATTGATGACAAAGGCAAATAAGTGGTGTTCTCACCCTATTCGGCATGCTGAAGCACGTAAAGTTGGACGGTCTCCATCGGATCCTAAAGGAATATATCGTGTGTCGTTGCAACTTATGAAATTTCTCAATCAACAATATGGTGTCACTGGTATTAATTCTTCGCAGTTGAATATGGGAAAATTTTACATATGTACTCGTTGCTACGAGTATGAGATGGATCGAATGAAAAGTACTCGGAACTTTTCAAGCAATCTAGAACTAGTTAATAATGGTAATGAATCAGCTGAAGATATGGAACTACGTTTATCAATTGACTCTTTGCATATGCAAGACATTTCCGAAGTTAATTATTCTGTTTTATGGGTAACAATTTAAGAGTAAATATAAGGGTGTGTGTGTGTGTGTGTGCGGGTGGATGTTGACCTAGGGGTGAGAAGTTACCATTACCCGGGAACTGGTAACTTTTCCGTTACCGTTACCGTTCCCGGGGAACGGTCGGGAGCGGTAACTTTCCACCCCTAGTTGAACCAGGGTCGTAAATCCACAGCGACAGCCAAGCGCCCACACTCACACCCACACACCCTCACACCCACACCCACACCCACACCCAATAAATTCTGTTCAACCAGCAAAAATGAAGAAAACAAAATCATCGTTTTGAAAAACGTTTATTACATCTTGTTTAAACGCCTCAGTCAGATATTTTAAGCCAAATTGATTCAATTGCACATAAAATTTCATTGAAATTAGTTCTGTTAAATGTAATATGTATTTGTTTGTCTTTCAATAGACTTATATTTTTCTTTTTTTTTCGTGCTTATCTTTCCTGTGCTGATCGTTCTCGTAGTGAATGTGGATGATAAGGTGCTTTACAAGTACCCAACGAAATGTCGTGTAATGTTTTGATTCTTTTTATATAAAGTCTTATATTAGTCACCTTCAACCATTCTTACCTAAAAGAAAGCGAAACTGATGCTACTGTTTGTTGATTTGATTGAAAAATTGCATAATCATATCAATGTGAATTTATTTGTTTAGCTTATGCATTCGAACGACGAACAGAAGTACGATCGTCCATTCTCCTTTCGTTCGGCATCAATCAAAGTGATGATAAAAACAGTAAAATAGAGCTAGTAATGTATTTACGAGAGGCAGTCAAATGGTGTGTCTGACTGTCCATAGTCGTACTTATCACTGTGATATGTGTGTAGGTGTAAAGAATTGAATTCAAGTTTCAAGTTTGACATATATGTATTTAAAAAAAATAGAAAGTCATATGAAACAATTTAAATGAAGTTTTTAAACAGTTGGATAGCTGGCCAATGTAGCAATACCACATTGGTTGCTCTTGTTACGGCTCATCCATATATAACCTTGGTTACCCCATGATAAACCCCATGAATTTTTGACAATATAATAATCTTGTCCATTTACACTGTCATAACCAACAGCTAAAACACCATGATCAAGTTGTAGTGGTGAGCATGCTGGTTCATTGTAGACACCTGATCGATAAAGTTGAAATGATGTGTGTGTAGCATCAATAGCGACTGAAACTGGACCAACTGTGGCGATTGCATCTTGTAAATCATCTTCACTGTATTGTTTAATGTCCTTGCAGCCCTATAGAAAGAAAAGCCAAATTACTATTATGCGAGCGAAGAAAAGGAAAAATACTTACAGTATCTGTGGCACCAACGTTTCTGGTATTGAATCGACATGTATCATCACGTGCTTCATATGGATAGGTTGATTCTGTATCAATACCATTGTTTTCTTTGATGTACTTGAAGGCATTATCCATTAAACCACCACGGCATCCGAAATTACCATATTTGCTTGAACAATCAACTAAGTTTTGTTCAGAGAGTGAAACAAGTTGTTGTGTTTTGGCAAAGTGTTGTCCTTCGAGTGCACCAGTAGTTGAAAAAGCCCAGCATGAACCACATTGACCTTGATCTTTAACCCCTGTTACGTAGCCTTTTGTACGCCAATCTATTTAATTCAAAAAACTTTATACAAATCATATAATCTTCTTCAATACATACCAACAGCATCTGGTCTTTTGAAGTTGGATGGAGCAACGTATTGATCACAAGTACCAGAAAAGCTGACATTTAAACTAAGATCGAGACCATTCATTTGTTTGACGAATTCTTTGAGGGTCTACAAATATCGATATAAAGATTTGATTATAATTTACTGAAAACATACCATGTCACCATATTTGTTCATTCCTAATGTATAAGTATGTAAACCGAGGTCAGCTTCAAGATTGTGTTTGTTAATATAAGCAATATGCTCTTCCCAGATTGATCGACTAGAAATAAAGACGATTATTAAAAATAACGAAGAAAAAAAAACTTTTTTTCTCTCTTACCGGGTTCTTTCCTCTGCATTTGATGCATATTGCCTTTCATAGGTACGCTTGTATAAAGCCCATGCTGAATCTAATCTTGTATCAAATGTTGGTATGGCGTAGGCACAGACGAAAAGAAAACAGAGACCAATGAAAGCTTTCATTGTAAATGTTGAGCTTGTTTGTTGAAGAGCAACAGTGAAGAATAGCGAATTTTACACTGGTATATATGGTAGTTAGTTTTTTGTTATGTCAGCGTTCTTCAAAGATACAAACGCTCAAATAAACAATGTTATTATCAACATTCGTTCTTTTTTGCTTTTTTTTATTAACAAAATATGACAATGCAAAGAATAACTGAGTTAATTGTGTTTAACGTTTGTTTCTATTCTACAAGATAAGTCAAGCTATGATAATAATTTTTTTGCAAGATCATTCTAAACGTCGCTTGAAAATTTGTTTGTCATGTGCGCATGACTTGCATAGATTTTATTCTAATAATTCGAAGATTACAAATAAAACATTTATAAACGTTTTTGCGAATTTTTTTATTTTATTTATTTAAAGAAGCGATTATTTTTAATACAAAAGAGAAATGTCTTTAAATGTCTTGGCCTTTACTTTCTTTGTTTGTTGTTTGTAGTAATCGACGCTTGAAAGTAGACATGTACCAATCCCGAACACAACTTCAAGTTTTTCAGTCGAGTTCAATCTATACATGACACAAATCTAAACCGTTTAGATTTGGTGAGTTTGGGTTTGGATTCAATATTTAGGCGCCTCATCCTAAAAAGTCAATTTTCGTCAAATTTCTCCATTGTGTGATTTATAGCATGTTAGATAGAGCAAAGCGTGGGCTATCGGATCACTATAGTTTATTCATTTTATGGTGAGTTTTGATGATGTTACATCGTTTTTTTCTGAAAACCTCCACCGTGGGTGTGGGTGTCGGTGTCGGTGGGTGTGGATGTGGGTGTGGGTGTGGAGTGTGCGTGAGATGTGAGTGTGGGTGGAGTGTGGGTGTGGGTCGCTATGGCTGTGAGCGTGGGCTGGGTGTGTGATGATAAAACCTTCAAACCAATACGGACACCCATACCCACAAACACTCATACCGACACCCAC